AAATCAGTTTCAGCGCGTGCCTTTTGAGCTTGTAACTCTCGTTCTTGTGCTTCTATTATAGTTTTCTCTTTCTCTCGTTCACCTCTACTGTTATATATTTCTTCTAATAGTGAGGAGACTTTGTCACGACCAGCCCCGGCTTGCAACTCAATGTTTTTGGCTTCTTTTGTAAGATCATTTGCTTGCCTGCCAACTTCATCCAACAATTCATGTGCTTTACCTTCCTCACTATCAGAAATATGTTCAAATGCCTCTTGCAAATTTTTTAAAGCCCTTTTGGAAGTCTCATCGAATTTTTGAAAGGCTGAAATGCTGGAATCCTGAAGGGAAGAAACATCACCATGGATGGACAGTGCCTTGTCTTTGAATCCTGTCTTATGTGTCGCTGCAGCATAAAAACCCATTTTAGCTCCCTTTCCTAAATCATGGTAGGTATCTTTAAGTGTTGTTGTATCAATCCCTGAAGTCTCTGCTACAATGCTAGACTCTTCTGTTGGCAGGTTAGTCAGGGAATACTCACCTATAAAAGTATAAAATAAAGCCATCCAAATATGTTAACTTACTGATATCTTGAGAGGATTTAACAACAGTGGCACAACAAATCACGAAAAAGATTATCCCCACATTTGACGCCATCATGTGTAGCCTCAGGCAGTATACTAGATCTGAGGTCTCTACTAAAATGGGAGCTAGATCTAGTCAGCTAGAACTGAATCTATGAATAGACCTTCTAAATTAAGATATCCGCGTAGGTGTGTCACTTGAGAGCACAAGCTCAGAGATAGCAGAACAGAGAAGCAAGCAGGGTACCGTACTCATAATGGTTCGGTATATTTTACTTCTGTGGGGTTTATTCACATGTAAGTCACTTCTAATAGTGTGCCGTTACATTTAATGGTAAAGTGTACTATTTACTTTAGTGTATAGCATTGGTGATGGATGCTAGTCTAGCTTGTGACTTACCTTTGCCTAAGCATGAGGTAGAGTAGTCTCATGTAGCAAGACATACCCTTTGTGCCTGTGGGCATGGAGGGCTGGGTTTCACTACGCAGGGCAGAGTTTAGAGGTAGAGTTAGTGTGCTGCAGGGTAAGGCTTGGCAAATTATACTTCAATTTCTGCCTATTATGCTTTTAGGCACTGCCCCAAATTCCATCCTATTATGCTTATGCGCATGTTTCAAGCTTTACTCAAGTATTAACTATCAAGTTACACGTATCTGTTATAATTGTAAATAAGAATAATAATATTATTGTAATAATGCCAGAATGTTTTTCCGATGACTTTGAATCACTGGAAAATAAAATACTCTAAGTAATTATAGTACTTGCCATATTGAATTGCAAATAATGGTGTGGTCAGGGCCAAAAGTTTTGACCCACTACCATATAGGGGGCGTATTTTCCGGGGAAAATATTTCACAAAATCACTTTTCAACCTATTCACAAAAAACTTTTGTGTTTTTCTTCTACTAAACATTATTAGTATGATAAGAAATAATTTTCATGGATAAAAATTTTCATGAATTTTGTAAAATCACAAAATTAGCAAAATTAAATCCCTGTGAAATATATGCCATATATGGTATGCTCCAGTTATGCCAGCATATAATAACTTGGCCTATTATGTTCCAAATTATGCTAGCATAATTTGTCTAGCCCTATTAGAAACCTCATTCATTATCATTATCATCAAACAGAATTATTCATGAGTAGTTTGAAATGCATTAAACTATTATATGTAGTAGGTGTAGTGAACAGCACAAAGGGGCCAAGTGACCTGACAATTGGTGGAGAGCCATATTCTGTATTGGAAAGACCTTCTGTAAATTCTCAGCTGGTTGAAGAGGCACAAGCTGACGTAACCATCACAATTGACTTACATGACATACCAGGAGATTTGCTATTAGTTGCCAAGTTCTTGCAGGTAGCTGAGAATGGGCTTGTATCCTTTCCTGTTATTCAAGGTAAAGTAAAGAAGTCACAAATTCAAATTTTAAAATTGACCGACAAGTCTCAAGTTGCTATCTCTGATTTTGCGAGAGCCAGTAGTAGAGTAATTGATAACTTGGAATCAACGCATTACCACCTTTACAATGGTAACATGAAAATGGCAACAAAAATGTACGGCTCTGTTGCAAAAG